AGTATAATTTTAGGTATTTTTTTCTTCAGTATTCTAATTCATGGCTTTTCTGTTTTCTTCATTCTTTGTAGGTTCAGTGGTCCCCTCACAATGAGACTATTTTGGCTTCTAGTGGTACTGATCGCAGACTGAATGTCTGGGATTTAAGGTGAGTCTTGTATTAGTTATTATCTTCATGAAGTTATTGTCTTTATTTACACTTTGCATACATAATTACTCAGAGTAAATCTTTACTTTTAAAATTACCTTTTTGTGCTAGTAAAATTGGAGAGGAGCAATCCCCAGAAGATGCAGAAGATGGCCCACCAGAGTTGTTGGTATGTTACAAGCACTGAGGCATATTGAAGTAGTCTGAAATTTTTTTTAGTAGTCTATAATTTAATGTCTGCTATCTGCATTTCACATTTTGTTTTCATCCCTCTTTCAGTTTATTCATGGTGGTCACACTGCCAAGATATCTGATTTCTCCTGGAATCCCAATGAACCTTGGGTGATTTGTTCTGTATCAGAAGACAATATCATGCAGGTGTGGCAGATGGTAAGTGGTCATTTCTTGTAGGGAATTATATAAATGAGACGTTGCATTATTTCATATGTATGTATTTTATGGCTGTAACTGCCACCTCTGTTTTCTCCCATATGTACTTGCAGGTGCATTGTCATTTTTAACTACCTGTTTTACCTTTATCTGATTGTTCTACTGGTTATTTTTAACTCTGCTACACAAAACCAATCTTTATCTCTCCACTTCTCCTTATTCCCCTTTGTTCCTCCTGACTTTATTTTCTAACTAGCACCAGTATTTTCTCTCGCTAACCAGGTTTTAGAACTCTTAAAATTCTCCATGTCTATTTACTTTAGTCTATCTCAGGAATGTTTCTCCAATCTGTCCTCATCTTACAAATACAAAGATGTAGCTGGGTGCTGGTAGCTCATGCTTATAATCCTAGCTACTCAGGAGGCAGAGATTGGGAGGATTATGGTTGAAGTCTGAAGTCCTGGTTCAAACCCCAGTACTGCTTAAAAAACAAAAACAAAAGCTAATATAAACATGTACATGAGCGGGTATACCACAGTATGAAATACTACTGTTTTTATAAGACCTGTCTAGATTTTTAAAATATTCCCTAATTCTATACCCCAGTTTTATGTGATCACCCTTCTGTGAATTTTCAGAGTTCATAGAATTTAATAAAAATAATCAGTTCAAGGAGTGTTGCTCAGTTATAGAGTGCATGCTTAGCATGTATGAGGCCCCATTTCCCTGGGGGGAGAAAATGGCTAGTATACACTAATAACAAATAGCTACATTCTGGTGATGGGTGATGATGATGGTTACCCAACAGTATGACTATACTTAATGCCTCTGAACTGCATGCATAAAATGACTAAGATGATTTGTTGTATGTATCTTACTACACTTTTATTTCAAATGATGGTATTATGATCAGTGAATTAAGAAGAATCCTCTAGTATCTCAGGAAGAAGCACCAGGGGAAAGTTTTTGACTTAACATGAGAAAGATCTCTTTAAAAAAACAGAATAGCAATATTAGCCAAATATAAGAAATAAGCTGTGCATTGTGGCACACATCTATAACCTAGCATTCTGGAGGCCAGGACAGGAGATTCAGAGTTCAAAGCCACCTGGGCTTCAGAGTGGCACCCCATCTCAAATATGTCTGATGATGTAGTTTAATCCTTGCCTCACATGTAGGTGAAGTTCAGTTCCTCAGTATTGCAAATACATGTGTATGCAGGCGTGTGTGTGTGCGCGTGAGAGACAGAAATGAGTGTTTGGCCCAAAAAAAAAAAAATAGTTTGAAGAGGAGCATGCTAAAATCTTGTATATCTAGTTTCATGTTTAAGGATATATAACTACAGTTGGCCTTCTGTATCCATGGATTGAATCAGGCATGGGTGGAAAAAAATAATAATTGTATCTATATTGAACACGTATAAACCTTTTTTATTCCCTAAACGACATAGCATAAGTATCTGCATTGCTTTTATATTAGATACTGTAAGTAATCTAGAGATGATTTAAGACAATGCACATAGGTAATACACAAATACTATAGCCCTTTATATGAAGGACCTAACCATTCAGATTTTGGTATCCTGTGGAGTATAGGGGTTGTCCTGGAACTAGTCTCCTTTGGATATCAAGAGAGAACTGTATTTAGAAGGCCATTTCATCCATAAGGCCCTAGGTGCAGTCCCCAACAACACACACACAGGCTGTTTGCCAAAATACGGTGTTTTTTAGGAGACTATTTCTTGGTTTCTGTGCACATTTCTATATTGTAATATTTTTATTAAAAGGATGTTGTTAACGTGTAAACAATTTACCCCACCCTCTTTTTGGAACATAGCCACTCAAAAGTATAAAAACTTCAAAATTCTGATGGGAAAGTGAACTGGGCTGCCTTGAATAGGCTATCAAATATATTTGTTAGAAGTGTTACAGAAGAAAGTTGCACTAGATCTCCTTCAAGGCCATATTCTCCATTCTAAGTTGTTAGTTTAATAAGTAAATCACTTCACACTTCTTGGCACAGAGCACCTAAGAAACGGAGTTTTCTAGGGTGATGAGTATCTTTTGTCATTCGTGATGATTCCCTTTGCACCACACTTGAATTTATGGTACTATTTTGGTGGGGGTGGGACCCCTAGGAAGTCTTATACTGAGGCTAGTCATCAAAAAGACCAAGCAGTTGATTAGAACTTGGAGCTTTTTGGCCAGTGGGGTGAGAGGGAGTATTATAAAACTTGTAATTTGATGAGCTTCTGGGTTGGTGAATACATGACTTACTGAGGCATGGCCACAAAAGGGCTGAACCCCTTCCCTATCTATTAATTTCTTCCATTTGGTTCCTTAGTTACATCTCTTTTTCTTTTTGGCATTGCTGGGGTTTGAACTCAGGGCCTCATGCCCCTGCCTTTATAGCTATTCTGTCAGCCCTGGTTACATCTTTTATTGTAAAAATCAGTAATAAACCAGGCATGGTGACACACATCTATAATCACAGGACTTAGGAGACTGAGGCAGGAGGATCAAAAGTTTGAGGGCAGCCTGAACTGTACACTATGACTCATCCTCAAAATAACAATATTTAAAAAGTGGGGTTGGAGCTTGCCAAACATGCCCAAGTCCCTGGGTTTCGTTCTCAGCACCACACAAATTCACCCACAGAGTAAGAGTTGAGGATAAAGCTCACTGGTAGAACACTTATCTTGTATATGCAGGGTCTTAGGTTCCATTCCCAACACTAAACAAAATAAACTTATTTCCTGCTAGCACTGGAATTATAGGTGTCCACTACCTATAATTCCAGCTACTTGGGATGCTATGAGAATTGAGAGTTTGAGGCCAGCCTGGGTTACTTAGTGAGACTGTCTCAAAAAAAATAAATGATTGCCTGAGTTCCATGAATCATTAGCAAATTATGAAGCCAGGTGGCGGGGATCAGGAGAATCCCCGAATTTGTAGTGGTGCTAGATATATCTAGAGACCTAGTAGCCTAGAGACCTGTGCTTGCAACTATCCTAGGGTGAATACAGTCTTATGGAATTGAGCCCCACAGCCTATTGAGTTTGATGCTAACCTCAGGTAACTTAGTAGAAATGGGGTTTATTTTTAGAACAGTTTTTATCTCTCCAAAGAGAAACTGTTTGCCATTTACTTCTGACCTTCTCATTTTTACCACCCTCCTGAACACTAGCCAATCTACTTACTTACATGGATTGGCCCATTCTGGACGTATTGTCAGTGGAATCACAATAGGTGATTTTTATTTGCTGAATTTTCCATTTTATAAATATATCACTTATCCATCAGTTGGAGGACACTTGGCTTGTTTTTACTTTTTAGCTACTAATAGTTATCTGGACAAACAATAACGAAACCTCACTTTTGGGAATGTTCTAATGTAGAGCCCTGTGGTAAACTGTCTTATTTTTAGTGGAACACACCCATGCCTGTTCATGACTTGTGTTCATTGTACATTGCCTCTGGCTGCTTTTCTCCTACAATGTCAGAATTAAGTAGTTGAACTATATGCCCCCCGCCCCGCAAAGCATAAAATATTTATTATCTGGCAGCCTGGCCTAATCTCTTGTGGAAGCCTTGACTTCAGGGCATAGTGTTATGTTTACTAAATACCCTCTTTTTCTTGTTTTTGGGCAGGCAGAGAACATTTATAATGACGAAGACCCTGAAGGAAGCGTGGATCCAGAAGGACAAGGATCCTAGATATGTCTGCACTTGTGATTTTAGACTCCCCTTTTTTTCCTCTGAACCCTGAGACTGATTTAACACTGGTTTTGAGACACACAGACTTTGTTTAGCTATCCCCCTATAATAGGTACCACCAACAATACTATTACCCAAACAGTGGGTGTTTTCTAAATATTAACTGGGGGGACTTGATTCAACAAAGCCACAGACTTATATTTAAATTTTCTTCAGGAATTTTTTAGTAACAAACCCAGGTCTAAAGTAGCTACAGAAAATGTTATGTGTGATTATTTTTTTTCTTAAGCTATATCCCCAAGTTTTTCGGATTCTTAAGTAAAAGCTAGAGTAAGTAAGGAATAGAGCCAAATGAGGTAGGTGCCTGAGCCATGAAGTATAAATATTGCAAGATGTCATTTTTATTCAGGAATTAGGGGAGATTCGAGTCATACAGATTCCTACTCTTAAACTTTCACACCTGACTTTCCAGGATGCACATTTTCCTATGTAGACAAGTCTCTTGGTTTCTTCAGTTAAGTCAAAATTACATGTTCCTCCTTCCCCATTTATTTTTGCTCATTAGTGTATTTCTTGAGCTGTTTTCATATTATTCCTTTCCTTTCTGTGAAATGGTTTTTGTTGTGTTATTATTTTTTTTAACTTGGGACCACCAAGTTGTAAAGATGTATGTTTTTACCTGGCAGTTGTACCACAGGTGGACTGCCAAGTTGAAAAGAGTGAATTGATAGCTTGTATTTGTTCAAATTAAATTAATCCTTGATAAGAGTTGCTTTTTTTTTTTAGGAGTTAGTCCTTGACCACTAGTTTGATACCATCTCCGTTTTGGGTGACCCGTTTCACCAGCAGGCCTGTTACTCTCCATTACTAACTGTGTAAGTGCTTATAATGGAATAAATTGCTTTTCTATATAACCCCATGCTAATGGGTTTTATTTAATATATATCATCCATCAAATCCCAGTCTCTGGCTTGTAGATTAGTAGTTCAGATGACAGTTTATTTTCTATGGTCTTTCACTATCAAGAGTAGAATTAAATAGACCCAGAGCTAGAAAAAGAGCTTTACTTCTTTCCAGGAAAAGTGAAAAACAGAGGTGCACAAGCTAGTCTGATAAAATGACATCTTTTTAAGTTTGTCCCTAGAGACTATACAGGCTTTCAAGAGTGTCAAAGGCAGTATGGTACAATTTAAGGCAGACTTTAAATCTGGAAAAGTACTTGATTTTCTTAAACATGGGTTGAATCTCCCCAGTATGAATTTCACTGGGGCCTGTACTTAAAGGTTAGAAATAATAGGTTCTGAAAGAAAGTCTTTACCAGCAAATGCCATAATCAGGTAAAATGCCTGGTGCTTTCCAGTCACTCAGTTTTTTGACTGAGCAGATCACTCTTGATCCCAAAACCACTTAAGGTCTTTGGGAAAATCTGAATAGTCTCAATTTGGTTCAAACCTGAATTGGTTCCTTTTCTTCAGCTCTAGTTGTTTTAGGGTATAGTGAAGATTAATCTTGATACAATTTTAAGAATAAATTGAGTCTGCATAGCGTTTAAGAAAAAGTAAACTTTGTAAAAGGATCCATTTAAAATCTAACACTCCATAGCACAAAGGAATTCAAACTGTAAACCCATATAGTTGAAATTGGCTGCCATTTTGACCCCAGCTTTGTCCCCGAAAATAAGTGTTTTTTGGTTTGGGGCAACATACATTCTTCACAATACTGCAAGGTGTGTCCATATGTTCATCCTTTACTCAGCAGTACATGTGAGGGTTGCTGCTGGAAGATAAGACTTATTTTTCCATTCCTTGGTGCATTGAGATCAGTACCAGCAGCGTAGGAAATAGAATCCAGATAAAAGTTGACTGGTGTTCTGCTTAGAATCTTTTTAAGCAGGTTGACCCGTATTTGCAATTTTCATGGGGTAAATTGCTTGCCAAGTTCTGGCACGTTTTTGTCTGTGGGAAAATATGTCCCAAGGATACTTAGTGATCCTTTGCTAAGAAGTTCTTAGGTTGTTTCTGGATTAGATTCAGCCATACTTTTCTAAACAGCCCCTGTAAGGTTGAAGGAAAAAAAGAGTTTATACTTCCTACACCTTGAAATAATACAGTAGAACATTTATAACAATGAACTTTCAAAGTTTTGTTTAGTACAAACTATCGGGGATAGACTGCTACAGTGTGATTTACATTTGATCAGGGATGACATTCATCTAGCAAATACGGTGCCTCTTTGCAAAATGGAATGAATGATAACTTCTGTGATGGTGATGAGAGAAATAGTAAAAGTTTTTCTAAGTTGGTGTGCTGGTGCACACGTATAATTGCAGCACTGGGGAATTACAGTACCTGGGATTCTTTAGATTTGCTTCCTTAGTCATTCCTTTTTCCTGTCCACACAAAAATATTTGTCAGATCATTGTCCCTAAATAAAGGCTATAATAATTACCAAATAATAATAAGCATGACTATTTAAATGTAGGTAGGACACAATAAAAGAAAATCTAGAAAGTTAAGAAAAGCGTCAGTTAAAACAGTTACTTGCAAATTTGAATCCAAGATGCAAGCTTAACTAAGAAATGAAGAATATAATGTACATCTGTATAATATACAGCTTGACACCGACCTTTTCGTAGTGCTCAGTATTGAACCTCTATTCTCATGCATACTAGGTAAGCACTCCACCACTGGGCTTACAAACCCCAGCCCTATCCATAGGGTTTTTAATATTTTTTAGGGTATTTTTTGTTTTGTTTTGTTTCTCCTCTAGGGTTTGAGCTCAGGGCCTTGGGCTAAGCACACCTCTTAAAACTTGAGCCATACCCTCAGCCTTTTATAGTTTTTTGGGGGGAGAAGAGGGAGTATTTTTAATCTAAAGAAATCTCGGGCTTTATTTTGTATTTCCAGACAGAGTGTTGCTGTGTACTCCAGCAACTTCAAACTTGTGATTCTCCTGCATCCTGAATGCCGGGGTTATGAGTGTTGACATTGCACTTGGTAAATCTAGAACTTTAAAAGAACATTATCGGTAGAACAGAAGGGATCCTAAATAGTTCACAGGTCCGAAAGCTGCCGTCTGTTTTGCCTAAAAGTAAGTCTGTGAAATACAGACCATTTCCCTACTTCTAACCAAAACCAGTCTTTTTTTTTTTTTTTTTTTAATATAAGGAAATTAATGAGTAGACATGTTGGTTATTTCATATATTAAGCCATAGTTCTGGCCCTCAACCTGTAAACATCCATTCTCATGCATTTTTAGATGTTTACAACAACAGTAATTTAGTCCTCCTGTCAGCCTCCTTTGTCACAGTCTGAATTTGGTACCACAACTGCCCTTTTGCTGTACTAAGGAAATTGGACAGCAGGTGGAGTGAGGAACAGACTGCCAGAGCCTAGATGTTTTTATCTGCTAAAGAATTTTTTAAGTGGGACTGGGGTTTGAACTCAGCTTCCTGCTTGCAAAGCAAGTGCTCTACTGTTTGAGCCATGCCAGTACATCTTAAAGAATTCTTGGGGGTAATTAGATCCTGTTTTTGAGTCCTAGTAGAAATTGAAACATTTCAAATAAACTGGATTCTTAACCCTGGGCATTTTAGTGACATAGGGTATTCCTGAATTTTGTCATTAGATAATTAAATTTTAAGAAGGCATTAGTGGGGCTGGAGGCTTGGCCCAAAGGACAGAAAACCTACCTAGTAAGTGCAGGGCCCTGAGTTCAAATTTCAGTGTCATCCCAAAAAAGGAATTAGGGGTTAGGGGGCATGACTGACGTGGTAGAGTGCCCCTCTAAGTTCAAACCCCACTAACCACCATCCCCCCCACACACAGAGTAAAAAGCAATGGCATACACACATAACACACATAATCCTAATTCTAGCTATTTGGGAACTGAGGCAGGAGGATTACAAGTTTGAGGCCAGCCTGGGCAATAAAGCAAGACCCCACCACCACCACAAAAAGAAAGAAAGAGAAAGCGTTAGTATTGTTAGGAATGCAGTAATGATGCAACCACCTCTCTTCTACCCACAAAGATCACCTTGGGACTGTATCTCGATTCCACCTGCCTGAGAAGTCAGAACATCAGCCTGTTCCAGACTCTTGGGTAGCATAGCCCTTTAAAAAGAGAGAGCCATTCTCCATCTGATCATGGATGAGCAAAATTTGAAAATCATTTCCCCAAATCTTTCTTCTTGTTTTTCACTTTTGAGTGAAATTTTTCCTGAGCCCTCCCTACCATCCTCTTAGCCAATATTAGATGAGATTTTTTGTGGCAATGAAAACTGACTTATAACTTGAGAGCTCTTCAGCAAGACTGGTCCTTAGTTGCTCCATCTCTTTGTTCTTCTGTTGCTGGAGTTGCACCCCACTTCTTAACTGCCTCTGTCTCGCTTCCATCTCCTCCAGCTGTTCCTGCATGAGATGGCCAAGAACAAATAAAAGCCTGATGTCTACTATAGTTTATAAAGTACTTATACACACTATTTAAGTATTGAGACTGGTACTGTCTTTATAGGACAGGTTAGGAAACAAGTTCAGAGAGGTTATGTCTTACCAGTGAGGCTGATTTTGAGAATGGTGACCTGGAAGAAGTTTTGTCTGTTACTCACTGCTTGCTTAATAAAATCTTAAAAAGATTGAACACGTATGCAAAGGGACTTTAGTTTCACAATCTTATTGCTGTTGGAGAGTGTTTTGGTCCTTTACTTGGTAGGCTGAGAGTTTCATCCCTCCATGTGCAAGTTTGTTTCTATTAAGATAAGTAGTAGTTGTTAGGCGCCAGTGGCCCATTCCTGTAATCCTAACTACTGGGGAGGCAGAGATCACGAGGATTGCAGTTTGAACCCAGCCTGGGCAAATAGTTCACGAGACCCTATCTCAAAAATACCAAAAAAGGACTGGTGGAGTGGCTCAAATGGTAAGATCATTTCACAACTAAAACCAGGTTTAAAGTCATATGTAAGATTTTTTTTGTGGTACTGGGGATCAACTTCAATATCTTGTGCCAGTGTGCTATCACTGAGCAGCATTCCTGTTCAAAAATTCTAAGTTGGAAAACATAATGCCTAGGAGCCCTTGAGCTTTCAGACAAATGTCCCATTTCCCATTCTGCCAAAAACACACTGAAATGTATTCTGTAAATTGTCCCTGCCTGGGATTAATGCCTGGAAATGAGGTAAGGAAGGTGTCAGCCTTTGGTCTCTGGCTTAGCTGCTAGCTGACTTGATTCCTTACACAGGATGTGAACAAAGGGGTGTGTTGGTATGAGAAAGGTATATTGTAAAGGGACAGTTTACTTACCTTAAGTAGGAATCCACTTTGGGTATATGCTATTATTAGAAGGATCTGAGTCAGCCTTGACATTACTGTGCCACATCAGCCACATCTGAATCTCAGCTTTCGCTAATACTGTCAAAAGACACTTTTTTAGTGCTCAGCCATGGCTATGTGCCACACAGAGATGTGACCTTAACCACTGAAGAGAGGCATCTGTCCCAATTTCCTAAGACTCCCTGCCCAGCAAACCTGTTTTGGTGAGGCACAAAAGTACATGGTTGGGGAAGCAGTCTGCAGTATTGGTGATACATTCTGTCAGGCTGGAACAGCCCCACTGGAATGAAAGAAGGATTGTTACAGTGGCAGTCAACCTACATAGTACACTGCTAGGTTCACTTTCTAAAAACTTATTTTACTATCTCAAAATCCTAAGGCTTTCTGTTTTCTTCAGTAGCATTCAGAACCCCTCTAGTTTGATCCCTGCCTCTATCTTGAACCTCCTTTACTCTTCCACACTCTCCACTATACAATAGAGAAGCCACTAAAGTCACAGAGGTGACTGTGGCTGGTAAACATTTGAAGTGTGGCCACTCTGGGTTGATCTTCTATACATTAGAATAGATTGACTTGGCAGATTTCTAAGACTCGGCACAAAAACATCCCTGTGTTGAAATATATTTCTGCCGGGTGTGGTGGTGTGCATCTGTAATCCCAGTACTAAAGGATGATGAGTTCATTCAAAGACTGCCTGGAATACATGGCAAAGGCCCAGTTTCAAAACAATGCATAACTATGCTCCAGGCACCATTGCAAGAGCTTCACAAAATTAGCTCATTCATTCCTTGGAACTCTGATGTGACAGATTAATCTCATTTTTATTAGTTCTTTCCTAAAATCAGGTGTAATCTCATTTTACATGTATGAGGAAGCTGATCCACACATTTTCCAACTTCCCAGTTAATAAGTGATAGAACCAGGCTTTGCCAACAGCTTAGAACTCATACTGCTAACAACTCTTCTTTGTGACTTTCATTAGATATAGTCTCTCCTGTGGTTTTCAGACTTCTGAAACAGCAGAAGGCCAAATTAGAGTGACTCCTTTTTACCTGTTTTATATATTAGCATTCCAAACAAAATTCTGTAGGAAAAGGGGGGAGGAGGAGTCCTTGGCTTTAAGGGAAAACATTTGCCTAAAACCATATATAGTTTGGTGCCAACCTACCTCTAGCCTCATCTTTCTGCTTAATCTCATTCCTTACAATTCAACCACACTGAGCCCACTTCCCAAAATAATGTGGTTTTGTGTTTCCATGATTTTGTATGAGCTGTTCCCTCTGCCTGGAATACCTTTCCTGCCTCAATATATTCTTCAATACCTCTCAGCTCCAAGCTTTGAGGTAGTTGAGTGTGGACTTGAGCTATATTGCTCAGTTAGATCCTGGCATGACTCCCAAGCCGTACAACCCTGGACAAATGACTTAAGTTCTCTGTCTTGCCTGTTTTCTCTCATTTTTCAAACACTTCAGACCTTAATGGGGGGTGGAGGGGAGCGCTGAAGAAATGAATCGTATGAAGAACTTCAAGTAGAGTTGGGTGCCAGTGGCCCATGCCTATAATCCTAGTTACTCAGGAGGATTGCAGTTTAAAGTCAGAACAGGCAAGTAGTTTGCAACGCCCTATCTCTAAAAAGAAAAAAAAAAAATCATATAACCCGGCACTGGTGGCTCACACCTGTAACCCTAGCTACTCAGGATGCAGACATCAGGAGGATTGCAATTCAAAGCCAGCATGGGCAAATAGCTCATGAGACCCTATCTCAAAAAAAACCCTTCATGAAAATAGGACTTGTGGAGTGGCTCAAGGTGTAGGCCCTGAGTTCAAGCAAGCCCCAGCACCACAAAAAAAAAAAAAAACCTTCAAGTATGCTGAGCACCAGTGGTTCATACCTGTAATCCAAGCTATTTGGTAGGCTGAGATCGGGAGGTTCCAGACCAACCCAGGCAAATAGTTCGTGAGACCCCCATCTCTAAAATAGCCAGAGCAAAATGGACTGGAGTTGTGGCTCAAGGAGTAGTGAAAAGCACTCTTGAAAAGTAATCAGATGGGAGATCTTTCAGAAAGAAGAATTTGGAGCCAGATGTTAGTACTGTACATCTACTATCCCAGCATTTGCTGTAAAAGAGACCACACTGAAGTCCCCTCGTAGTGCCCAGCAGCATTTAACTCAACACTTACCTGATAAGGCCTCCAAGCCATGAGAAGTAGAGAATACAAAGAAAAGTAAAACAGGCCCTACCTTCTGAAAGCCCACATAGCCTAGAGAAGTAGACGTAATTGTTTATTCACTTAGTATTTATATCCTACTCTGTTCTAAAAAGGGATTAGAACTGGCTCACACTTAATCAGAAATAACTTGAATACAAGGGAGATGGTGACATGCACAAAAAAGGAAGATGAGGAATAGAGATTTCATCCTAGTCTAAACACTGGACAACTTTAAGGTGGAGAATGAATAGGTGGGACTTATAGGTGAATGTGGTAGAGGGGAGGGAATGCATCCATTCCAGGTGGCCTCCTTCCCTCTGGCTTTATATATATCCAAGAGTGATTCACTATTAGGAAACGGTTCCATGGAAAGAACACTGAAATCTTGGGATTGGGTAGCCCCAGCCCTAGGGTCAAACTACTTCAGTTCACTGAGCCTCAGTTTCTTCATCTATAAAAAATGAAAATCCAAGCCAAGTTTGGTGGTGCATGCCTGTAACCCCAGCACTCAGGAGGATGGTGAATTTGAGGCATCTTGAGCTACATAGTGAGACCCTGTCAAAAAAAAAAGGTCCTTGACTTGTAGGATTAATGTGAAGATAAATGAGATAGTTCGTGTTAAAATGCTGTGTAGCCAGCATAGTGCCAGTGGCTCACACCTGTAATCCTAGCTACTTGGGAGGCTGAGATTGGGAGGATCAAGGTTCGAAGCCAGCCTAGACAAATAGGTTACAGAACCCCATCTCTGAAATAGAGCAAAATGGATTGGAGGTGTGGTTCAAGTGGTAGAGTTCCTACTTTGCAAGCACAAAGCCCTGAGTTCAAATCTGTCCCACAAAAAAAAAATGAGCTGGGTGCCAGTAGCTTATGCCTGTAATCCTAGCTACTGCCTGGGCAAATAGTTCTTGAGACCCTCTCTCGAAAAAACCCTTCCCAAAAAAGGGCTGGTGGAGTGGCTCAAGGTATAGGCCCTGCTGGGCACCAGTGGCTCACGCCTGTAATCCTAGCTAATCAGGAGGAAGAGATCAGTAGGATTGCGGTTCAAAGCCAGCCTGGGCAAATAGTTCACAAGACCCTATCTTGAAAAACCTTTTACAAAAAAAACGACTGGTGGAGTGGCTCAAGATGTAGGCCCTGAGTTCAAACGCCAATACTGGAAAGAAAAAAAAAAGTGCTGTGTAAACTAAAAATGCAAGCTCCTAACATAGGTCTGACTGGATGAATGAAGAATGGAGGAAAGGAATGAGTGAGTGGTCCCAAATAAGCTGTTCTTCCTACACAGGATAGGATCCTCCAGCCACCCTTTCCTTCCCCTGCTTAAAAGATCTGTTTCCCTTGCACATCCAAGGGTCCTACCCTGTACTGCTGCACTTCCTCATCACGTTTTTGCCTCACAAGTGTGATCTGGTCCTCCAGGTTCCTGTTTTGCAGGAGGAGCTGCCGGACCTCTGCTTGTAGAGGTCTCAGAGCTTCCTTCATCTCCTGGATCTCGGCCTGGGTTTTCTGCAGAGCTTTGGTCCCCGCTTCTTTCCTCTCCAGCAGCCGCAGTAGCTGAGGCTCATATTCCTCTTCCAGGCCCTGGCGGCTCTCTGCCATGAGATTTTCAAACTGGGCAGACAGCCGCCGGCTCTCCTGGAGAAAGTGCCCATCCCTCTGGCTTGGAGGTGCTTCTAGTTGATGCCGCAGCTGCTCTTTCTGCTTCTGATAGGCATCACGGAGCTGGGCCAGTTCCTCAGAAAGCTGGGCTGCCTTTGTAGTCAGTGCTTCCCGGAAATCAGCAAACTGAGCCACATCCTGCTGTCGGCACTCCAGCTGGTACTGGTAGGCCACACATTCCTTGGTCACCTTGAACAGCTTCTGCTTGACCAGCCGGATCTCTTCCCTTAGCCCATCCCTCTCCAGCTCTGCCTGGGCGTGCAGCTTATAGGAAGCCAGGATGTCCTGATGGACTTGCTGCACCTCCTGCAGGGCTGGTTCCCGGAGCAACACAAGCTCATGGATGAGCTGATCCCGCTCTTCTTCCAGCTGGGCCACTGCTTGCACACACTGCTGGAAACGGCTCTCTAGCAGTTCCAGGTCCTCCATGCTGAGGTTCTCCTCTGCACTGGAGCTTGACTCTGCTCTGAGGCTCTCCTCAGGGTTAGATTTCTCCCTTGCAACCATCTCTCCCTCACAAACAATCTGCCCTGGGCTTGGACTCTCAGCTGACTCCACAAGCTCCTCCACAAATTGTATTTCATCTGGCTTCACAGGCTCCTCCATGTACAGCATCTCCTCGGTACTCACAGGTTCTTCCATGTACAGTGCCTCTGGCTGCTCAGACTCCTCAATATACAGGGTGTCATCTGGCTTATCGGTCTCTTCCACATAGAGTGACTCTTCAAAGTCATCTGTGCCTCCCAAATAGAGAATGTCTTCTAGGTTCACCATCCCCTCCAAAAACAGAGGAGCTTCTGGTTTTAAGGTCTCAGCCTCATTCAGGGATTCAGAGTTACCTTGAAGAGAATTGGCCTCTGTTCTTGTTTCCCTGCAAGAGAAATGATTTAAAGTAAAAGGGCAGCCACAATGAGGATGTTTGTTACTAAAGCCATTAGCCACAGGCCTGAATTGTAGCTGGTTCTCAGATCTCAGTGGCCACTTGTCTACTCCCTTCCCTCTTACCCATCTACCCCCTACACGCAGTCTATTGTTTTGATTCCTTGACAAAACAACTTCAAGGACAAGAAACACCTGAACCCCTACTTATATGCTCCACAGTCATAGCAAAATTCTAATGTTGAAGTAGAACCTTGGAATTCTTATCTTCTCAACTTGATTCTCCCTTCTAGAATCAGACAGTTCTGCTTTTCCATATAAAATCACACATTCCTTGGTCACCTTAAAGATAACTAACTTGAAGTCAGGTCCAGGTGACTCATGCCTATTATCCTAGCTACTTAGGAGGCAGAATTCAGGAGGATCACTGATCAAAGCCAGCCTGGGTAAACAGTTCTTGAAACCCTATCTCAAAAAAACCCGTCACAAAAATAGGGCTAGCAGAGTGGCCTTGAGTTCAAACCCCAGCACCAAAAAAAATAACTAGGAGGCTAGGGATTTAGCTCAGTGGTAGGGCACATGCTTAGCATGCATGAAGCCCTGGGTTCAATCCCAGCACAAAACAAAAAAATCTCAGTTATTTCATACATGCCAACTATCCAGTGCCCTCCTCATTTGAGTCACCTCCTTCTGACTGGACTCCAGATTGTCACTGTCTCTTGGGGATGGAAATTGAGAGCAGTACTCCAGGTGTGCTCTAAGCAGTGGTGTTCCTGGACACTATATTTCCTATGGAGACAGCCACGATTTCCTTAGCATATACAGCAGCTCTATTGTATTCCTGACAAGTGCTAAGTGATAAAATCCTTAAAGACTTTTGCACACCAAGTATTTTTAAGTCACATCTCTCTTATATTTATAAAATGTTTGCTCAACATAATTGTACATATGGAGTCAGTGTGACATTTCAGTATACAGTGTCTAATTGGTCAACTCAAAGCAATTGGCATATTCATCATCTCAAACATGCATCATTTCTTTGTGCTGGGAATATGAAATATCCTCTCTACTAGCTATTTTGAGATACAGTATCCAAGCCATATGTTTTATTCCTGTAAAACTTCATCTTGTTAGAATTGACCCATTCTTGCAGTCTGCCAAAGGCTCTTGAATTCAGATTCTGTGATTCCATTGTAGGAGCTCTTTGACCTAGCTGCTTATGCCTGCCAGCACTCCTGCTCTCCTGCTTTTTTGGCCCTCAGATGGCTTGGGCTTTTCCTGTTTCAAATGTATCTTACCTACCTTGAATCTCTGAGCACTTTTTTTTTGGAAGTCATTAAATATCACTGAAAGGGCCTTTGTGTGTCTTTTTGATAGTGACTTTCATCATGCTCTACATTTTATATTGAAACTGGGACTTTAACTGGATATGTATATTAGGCTGACTTTGAACTTAGGATGTTCAAAACTGAGATGAAAAATGTGAAATGATAAGTTGTGAAAGTGTTCAGATTTTATGTTTCCCATTGCAATTTGCATATTGTCCAAGACACAGATGAGAATAAAAAGCATTTTTTCAAGTAAAAAAAAAAAAATATATCACTGAAAGGGCTTGAGGGCATGCCTCAAGTGGTAGAGTGCCTGCCTCTAGTTCAAGGCCCTGAGTTCAAACCCCAGTACTGCAACAACAGCAACAAAAATCATACAATAATAATAATAGGTTATACCTATTAAGGAATTAACTGTGTACTAATCCCTGTTCTAAATGTTTTATATGTACTACTCATTTAATCCTCCTAACAATTCTATTAGATAGCTATATGTATTCTTCCCATTTTATAGATCATTAAGCTGAAGTTGAGCTTACCTTGCTCAAGGAAACTTGGATAGTCACTGTGCTCCAGATATAAAACACACAAAATATGAGCTTTCAAGCACCTTTTTTTTAGATATAAATGAAGAGCCACAAGATTTCAAATAATTTGATTTGTTGGTATAGAAAAGCCTCGTACTTGTATCCAAGTTTTAAGCTCCCTCCACCCCAGGTCCTGGAGATCAAACCCAGAGCCTTGAACGGATTAAGCATGAGCTCTACCACCGAGCCACACCTCCAGGCCCTAGGCTCTATCAACTCCACATTCCCAATATAGATATTTTTCTTTTAAATTGATTTGTAGGCTGGGTGACTTAGTGGTAGAGTGCCTGCCTAGCAAGTGTGAGGCCCTGAGTTTAAACCCCAGTACTGCCAAAAAAAAAAAAAAAAGTTTCCAGTCTCCATTCCCCCTTCTCTATTCCATTGCCATGGCCTATCCAAGTCATCGCCTCCCTCCTACACTTCATACCACCTTTTACTGGCCCTTCTTGCTTCACCCTGTCTGTTCTCTACAGTGCCATAGTTAGCTCACTACAACATAATGTTGCTCCACTTCATGTTTTCAAAGTCTTAAATATGTGGCCCCAATTTATCTTTTTTAGCCTCAGTTCACATTACTTCTGCAACCCACCTGGTGTCTAACAACCCAGAACATGTGTTAACTTTTCACACCTCCCACTCTGCGCCCACAATATGTAAAGGATACAGCTAAGAGATGCAGCTTCCCAAACACCATGTGTCTAGAGAACAGGCCTGCACTACCTTGGAAGGTAGAGCTCCTAGCACCAGGAAATACAGCCAGCCAGGCCCACGTTGCTGCTCAGAGAGACTGCTTTTCCTAGTCCTCACATCCTGCTCCTGCAGAGCCCCCTACCTTAGAATGTCTTAACCATTCTAAGGTACTATGTTTTACATGAATACTGGTTTATGTAGTGCTCATCTACTGTTCCCATTGTATAGATGAGGAAGCCACAGCACAGAATGAAGAACTCAGTTAAGGTTCCACAACTCATTATAAGTGCTGGAATGGAACCTGGAGAGGCTGCAGTACTTACCATTCTGCCTAGGATAGGCATGAGGCCTAGAAAAGGTAACTGTAGCATATATAATAAAGCTTGGCACATAGCAGTCAATCCATATTTCTAGGGCTAGAGGTGTGGCTCAGAGGCAGAGCACTTGCCTAGCATGTGGGAGCCCCTAAGTTTGACCCCCTAGCACTGGAAAACAAGTAAAACATACTTACTGGGCTGGGGGCATGGCTCAAATAGTAGAGTGCTTGACTAGCAAGCATGACACCCTGATTTAAAACCCCAGTACCACCCCACTCCTCAAAAAGGCAAAATAAAAAACCTGCTTAGGCTGGCAGAGTGGCTCAAGTGGTAGAGCACCTGCCTAACAAATGTGAGGCCCTGACTTCAAACCCCAGTACCACCAAAAAAAAAAAAAAAAATTAAATTTCTATTCATCTTTCAAGCCCTGCTCAAACGTCATCTCCTCTGGAAGTGTTTCCCAAACAAGCCCAACCTATGTCCTCTTGACACTGAGTGCAGCTTATCTAAACACAGTACTTTGCATTATGGAAGTATATGTGTCCATATCATTAACAGTGAATTTCCTAAGGGATAATATAGTTCCCCTGCTTTGTATCCCAGGGTGGGGCCCTTGGAAGGCAGGCAGAAATACCTGAGCTCCAGGGAGGAAACTTGGCCACTGTCAAATGACAAAGCTGGAGGTAGAACCCAGTCAGCTGACCTCCAGGCCCACTGTTTCCCAACCTGTGTGCCAGATGCTGCCCTCACACTGCTTGTCTCTCTACAGAATTGGCTAAGAAGCAGGTTATGGGAGGCTAACAGAGGAGGGAGTAAACTCAGCTGTGACCCCTCAACTCAGGTTTCCTTGGGCCCCAGGCAGCCTTCTGTCTTCACCACTCTGTCCCTGTCCCCAGAGGACTCCCAACAACTCCCTAACCTTGTCCATCAGGACTGTGGCTGGGTGTGTGATATGGCACAGGCAAAAGTGCATGTGTCTGACTCCATCTGTACCTGCATATGTGTATGGCAGTCCAGGCAAGTGTATGTGTAAGACTGCTCAGCGTTGTCCTCTCATGTGACAATGGAGGGATGCCAGCAGGTGTGTGTATTTGTGCCTCCACCTCTTGGAATGCTGGGGAAGTCCCAGGGCCACAGTTTGACCTGGGCAGAAATACTCCCCACTCACCCCAATCCACTAAACCACAGGTTCCTTCTCCCTGACCAGTGGTAAGCCACAGCAGATAGATGGGCACCATGCCCTCCTGCCCCTGCCCACCCATGGCTCTCCCCACCCCCATCAAGCCAGACAGAGAACTGGCTGCTTGAACAGACTCTTAACTTCAAGCTGGCAGGTACCCAACCGTGCACCAAGTGGCTTCCAGCAGCGAATTCACTGGTTGACCCCATCCCCAGTTGACATTTGGAGAAATGAAGGACAAGTACTGTCTTTAGCCAGCTGAGCCAAGTGGATTTTGAGCTGTTGCTGTCCTGAAAGGGTTAATTTTCACACAGCCAGTACGAGGGGGAGGGGCATTATAAAAAGCCACAGACCAACCGAGGGTGCCAAGACCCCGGGCCAGAGCTCCCCATCTCCCTTTCCTGGGTGGTTCCCAGTGCCCTATCCGGGCTGGCCCACTACTCACAGACAGGCAAAAGAAAGCGCGAGTGGGGGAAGGGAACCCGTCCGCACCCCCTCCCCAAAGGGGCGGCGATGCGGGCCCTGGAAGGTCCTACCTCGCGGCCTGGGCGGCGCCGTCCCCGCTGCGCTGGGGCTCGGGGCTGGCCATGGCTGCGCGACCCCGGGCTCGGCGGGCGCGTTATTAATAGCCCGGCCGGCGGGCGGCTGCTCCGGCGCCCGCGCGCGCCGCACTGCCAGCTGCAGCCGACACCGGATCCCGGCCGCCCTGGGCCGGGCGCACCCACTTGGCCAGGGCTCCCGCCCGCGGGAGGAGGGAGCGGCCCCCGCGGTCCTGGGGGCGGGGAGAGGGTGGAGGGAGCGGTGGGGGGCGGCCTGGCGATGTTTCCAAAACCAGGCTCTTCCCGAGCCTGCCTTCCCTCCGCCTTCCCCTCTCCGGGTCTGGGTTGCAGTGGGAGGAGAGGAAGGGGAGAATGTCCCCTGTCCAGCCATGGGGAGCAAGGGTTGGGGGAAGGCTGAACCTCTCGCCTGCAGATGTCCGGGAGTGTCGGCGCCCTTCAGTCCCCACCCGCGCCGGGGGTTGGACAGCGGCCACCCTCTCGGTGCTCGGCAGCTGTCGAGAAGGGGTGGGGCCGGGCGCCGGCTGGAGGAGGGGGTTTAACGGCTACACCCCATGCTTCAGGGGACAGCCTGGGGCCTGGAGCCCATGGGTGGAGTTAGGGAAGGTCGGCGGGAGGACCGCTTTCCTCCCCCACCCTGCCATGCTTCCTAGGGTCTCTCTTCAGCTCCACCTGACACCTCAACTCAGCAGCCTTCTATCAACTCTAATGCTCACTCCCCTAAATCCTCGGCCCACCAGTGTCTGGGTCAAACCTGAAGTCTTTCTCCCTAAGAAGCTTCTGGGCCCCCTCCCAGACCTGGGCCTACTCGGGCATTCTCCCTCTAACTCCTTTTTTCCACTTAAGTCCCTGGGTCGGGTGGAGGAGGAGAGGAGGAGGACTTTGACTCAATCTCAGAAGAACGCTATGCACTACACCAGGCGGAGGGATTGGCACATGTGTTTAAATCAGAGGCCTTGCATGTGGGGTGGGGGTGTCTTGTATGTGTGTGGGCCTGTGTGGTGCGATCAACATGCCCACAGCTGGTAATGTATGGTCATGGTTTTGTGTGTGGAGTGGAAGATTGTGGGGTTGTGTGCCCATGTGTGACTCTGATGACTGTGGAGTAATGTGGGGGCTGGGGGGATGTGACTATGTGACTGTATGGGGGCAGGAGAAATGTGTATGGTGATGGTGCCCGTTCTGAATTATCCTTTGAGGGAATGAGACACTGACTGCAGTGACTGTGGGGCATGAATATGATCCTGTGTGTGGTTGTGATTGTGTGCCTGACCATGGAGGCCAAGGCGTGGGGAATGTTCACAAGCAGAGATACTGAGTGTCCTTCATGTGGACTGGGGCTGTGTACATGTGCATTCATCTACTATCTGAGTGTGCCGCCTGTGGCTGTATATTTATATCACTCTGTCTAGTGCAAGGCGGTGGGTGGAAGATTAACACCCAGGGAGCCTGATATACCCTTGTAAGGTATGCAGGAGAAAAAGTCAGGTTTTGGAGGCTGCTGGTCATTTTCTGACTTACCACTGAAATATTCAGGGGAGGAGGTTGGCAGCACCTCAGCAGCTGCTTGTTTGACAGTTACTGCCAGTCAGAGGGGAGCAAGGGAGCAAGGGCAAGGTCAGCCAGAGCCTGTTTGCTATGGGTACTAGGCAACAGGCAGCAAAGGAAGCAGTTAGAAGGGCCAGCCTTTCCCCTCTCACCCCTGCCCAGGAGCTGGTCTTGGGCAGACCCCCAAGACTGCATTCTTAACCCTTCCTCACTTCCCCTGACCCTCCTTTGGGCTGAAATACTGAATTCCCAGGATCTAGAAACTCCTCCACCAGTGGGTCTTGGTGCTTACTGTTTCTTCTGCCTACAACACCTTTTACAGCTCTTCACATCCCAGCTTCCACTCTTCTTTGGGCTTAGCCCACATAGCATCTGATCAGAGGGATGCTCCCTCCCTAATGTCTACCCCATTTATTCTCTGTGTAGCACTTACCACAGTCTGTAGAATAGGTTTATTTTCTCTGCTTCCCCCTAGAATGGGAGCAGAGACTTGGTATGTCTTGTTTAGTGCTGTGTCCCCAAGGACAAGGACAGAGCCTAGTGTGTAGTAGGAAAATTTGTTGGATAAAGGAAGGAAAGGATGGTCCTATCTAGTCCAATTTGGGCAACATTTGATGCCTGCTGAGTGCCAGGCCTAGTCCATCTACACCAAGGGGCCCTAGGGTACTCTGGGAGACAGACATGCACACATGCCCAGATTGTGTCCACCCAGGCAGCTTGAGGTGAACCAGGTCACAGGACTCAGTTCCTTTGGCACTTGGTGTGTACTGGGCCTGTGTCAGAGAAAACAGCCTTATTTGGCACAGGCCTACAAGATGCTCACTGTGTAGAGGAAGCTATAATCAGCTCCTGAGGAGACAGGCCTAAGCAGAAGATAATGCCAACTCACTGTGCTAAGCGATGTGGGGATAGACACTGAGACCCAGGGAGGCCAAGAGTGGGAGAAGCTGACTCCGGGACAGAGTAACCTGAGCTTGAAAGAATGAAAAAAGATGTTCCAGAGCCAGGCACAGAGGGTGCTTTGAGAGACAAGTTCAGTCACTGTCAGCCTCTCCATGAAGCTAAATCTGGGAAGAGAACAGCCAGTGGCTGGCTATTCTCTGCCTGACTTTGTTTTCTACACTTCTCGTTCTGCTGTGACCTGGGACAGACTCCTGCACATTCTCATGGTCCCCTGGCCTTTTTGGCTCCAGGTGGGGTTTATCCCATATAAGACATGCAGAATTGGGGGAGGGGGAGAGTGGACCAGGCTATTTATCATGCTTCCCTTCCTCAGGCTCAGGGAGTGACTTCATCCCACTGTGACTAGTTCTGGGTGCTTTGCAATTCCTGACACTCCTCTGAGAACAGTTCCTTCATGACCCCCCTTCCAGCAAAGGTCTTTTGTTTTGTTTTTTGGTGGTACTGGGGATTAAACTCAGGTCTTGTGCTTGCCAGCCAATTGCTTAAGCACTTGAGACACTCCACCAGCCCTCAGCAAAGGCCTTGAATGTGCATATTTCTTGCTGAAACTCCTAAAGAACTAACCCAGGACAGTTGGGCCCTGGCCAGAGAATTTGGGGAGACCCTGTTTCTAAATCATCACCCAAAATCAGAATCAGAAAAGTTGTGATTAGTTGTGACCAGATCAGTCAAGTATGGGGCTGTAACTCAGTGGTGGAACTCTTGTATAACATACACAAGGCCCTCAGTTCCTTCCATCTCCAACACAGAAATAATAGATTGACTAAATAAAAAGAAAAAAGAAAAGCTGCAAACAGATGCCACCCTGAGTGAAGAGATACCTCCTGTCCATGACTCTAGCAGGGTCCCAACATTAGGGATCTTCCTTACTCCTTAGTTCCTTACTTGGGCCTGCAGTTATTCTGGCTGGGAGAATGGAGCAGGGAGAGGTGGGAGGAATGGGGAACTGAAAGAGGGGTGAGCTGGGGAGTCAGCAGCACCAGAGGGCAGCCGGGGAGGGGGAGCTTTTAGCAGCAGTCCCCAGAGTCTGCCCTCTATGACTATGGGAAGCCAAACTCCCTGAATTCCAGTTCCCTGTCAGTAGAATGCATAATTAATTCCCTCTTCACAGGATTGTGAAAAGCAATCAAACCAGAGGCTCAACACAGTCACTAGTGGATGGGAAGCTACTCTGAAAACTGAAACCAGGGTCACCATTGCTCGGTGATGGAAAGACTATTCTGCTTAGTTTCGTTGTGTCAAGAGCTCCCATAAGCCACTCAGAGATAGGAGCAAGGTGGTACAAAGATGCCCTAAAAAGCCCTCAAGCTTTGGAGGCACATTTGTACTTACTCATCCTGTGACCTCAGGAAAGTCACTCCACCTCATAGACTGTCTTCTCTGTAACACTGATTAACAATTTTTTTTTTTTTTTTGGTGGTATTGAATTCAGGGCCTCACACTTGTTAGGTAGGTGCTCTACCAATTGAGCCACAACTCAATCCTGGATAACACTTTTTTACATCAAAGGTTTGCTGTGAGGATGAACCCAAAGCACAAATACCATTAATCAAGTGCCCGAGAAGTATTAACTCTTATTTATTCATTTATTTGTTTGTTTGTTTATGCTAGTGATTAAAGCCAGAGCCTCTTGCATGATAGGTTCATACTCTACCAATGAGCTACACCCTAGCAAAGATAATCTTTTAAAAACAAAGAGAGAAATAAAGAAAAAAAAAATTTAAAGAACAACAAAAAATAAATAAAAATGGAGAAAGAGCCAGCTTTGCAGTGACTCAAGCCTGTAATTCTAGCTACTTGGGAGGCAGAGATCAGGAGACTAGAGGTTCAAGGCCAGCTTGGACAAAAAGTTCTCGAGACCCCTCCCCATCTCAACCAATGGCTGGGTGTGGTGGAAGGTGCCTATCATCCCAGCTATGTGGGGAAGCACAAATAGGATTGCTTCCAGGCCACCATGGGCAATCTGAAAAATAACCAATGCTAAAAGGGCTGGTGGAGTGGCTCAAGTGGTAGAGCACCTGCCTAGCAAGTGCAAGGTCCTGAGTTCAACCCCTGGTATTGCCAAAAACAAAAGAAAGAAAAAAGAGTGAGAGACAGCATCTCACTATGCAGCCCAGGCGGGCCTCAAAATCCTGGGCTCCAGCCGTTCTCCTGTCTCAGCTTCCCAAATTGTTGGGACTACAAGCACAGGCTCTCACACCCAGATTATTATTTTCAAAACTCCTCTTTCAGACTGGGGGTATGGCTCAAGCAGTAGAGTGTGAAGCCCTGAGTTCAAACCCCAGCAACAACAACAACAAAAAATTCCTCTTTCCAGCCAGTCACAGTGACTCACACCCATAGTCCCAGCTACTCAGAAGGCTGAAGCAGGAGGAACCCTGGAGCCCAGCATTTCAAAATCAACCCAGACAATAATAATGAGACTTTGCCTTAAAAAAAACAAAACAAAAGTCTCCTTTCTCCCTCTTATTCTCTCTAATGTTACAAAGGAACTGACTGTGGCATGACTCTTCATTCATTTCAATAAGTTGCAAAGCAGGTGCTCTATCATTTGAGCTACACCTCCAGTACATTTTTTGCTCTGGCTGTTTTGGAGATGGAGTCTCTCAAACTTTTTGCTGGGGCTTCCCTTGAACCTTGATCCTCCCAAACTCAGTCTCCCAAGTAGCTAAGATTACAGGGTTGAATCACCCATGCCTGGC